TGCAGATGGCCTCAGGAACTGTGCACCCTCTCTCACGCACACGGTCCAGGGATTGCAAGCAGAAAATTCATCATTGGCCATGTCTGCACTTTGGCAGTCAAAAGGTGTTTGGACACAGCGAGGTGAGCCAGATGGATTCTCTTCCAGTTTGAGTGTCACTCAGGGGATCCTCAGGGACTGGAAGAGGCTTCCAGCGGAGCGCTGATGTCTCCTCCTGTGTCAGTCTCCCTCAGTGCTTGCTCAGGGACTGAAATGTCACCCAGTGCAACCCCAGAGAGGACTTCCAGTGTGAGTCTCACAAAGTGTCTGCTCAGAGACTGAAGGAGAAAGGCTGTCGATCGCCAGAACCCTTCAGTGTGAGTTTCACAGAGCGCTCACTCAGGGACTGAAAGTCCTCTACCAATAGCAGCCTCAGCATCACCTCCATCTCCATGGGGTTCTCTGCCAGTGTGAGTCTCACTTAGTGGATCCCTAGAGAGTGGAAGTGGCAGCCATCTGAGTGAATGCGTGTCCTCCATTGTGAGTCTCCCTCAGTGTTGCTCAACGTGTTATTGAAAGAGCTAACTTATTTTATCCAATGTCTCTTTTCCAAGTTGACCTTTTCTATGTGGTTTATTCCACTTTGCGAGTATCATCCCATGGACTGGTTATTTTAAGTCGACGAACAGTCCTTTGATATATATGAAAAATTATTGATAGCTAACACTACATGATGCATCACCCGTTTAACCTTTTAAGTGAGAATAGCTATCATTAACCCAGTTATAAAAGTATTTAATTTTTTTCTCCATGTACATAATTAATTTACATCTCCCATCCAGAAATTTGTTTTATGCCTTTTTGGTATTTTTGTCATTGCTGTTATTACATAATTAGTATCAACTTTTTTTTTTCTTTGTTAAAAGAAGCTTTAGGATATGTTTTAGCAAGGCCCAAAGTTTTTGGTAATAACTTATGGAACTACATGTTGCAATGTGTATCTGCCAGTGTTTGTTGGCTAATATAGATGTAACTTTCATGGTTATATACTGGGTAGGTAATGAAGCTTACTTACTGTTGGAAGGCATCTTCTACTTTTTAATTTTGATTCATTTGGTTAAGTAGCACTGTTGATGAACTCCTGATTCATTGTTTCCCACATCCTTCCTGTTCATTGTTTTGACACCAACACTGCAGGCTGACACCTGAGCCTTTTGTGGTCTAAGATGCTGGAGTAAATGCCTTTGAAATCAAAGATAAACAGCATCAAATAACCAACTGTTGAGACTGCAATCCCAATAAAATAATTTTACAAACAGGCTTTTATGTGCTTTATTCTATAAGTGTAAGAAGGCAAGATACCATTCATTGTAAATTTTACAATTTCTAAGAAACAGCCCAGAGAGAAAAAGGTTACTTTTCTATCTGGAAATAAGCTAGGGCTAATGTTACTCCAGGCCCCAAAGATATTTTCATTCTAAAAGACACGCATCAATGGCCAAGATTACTTCAGGCCCCAGAAGTACTTTACTCCTTTTGAGAATATGGCCCTTGGCTAAAATTATCATACTCTTTAGGAGTTTACCTTATTTCCAGAGAGGAAGATAAACTCCTAGGAACAAACATAATTTTATTTATTTTTTATTGTTAGATACTTGAGGTAGTCATTTCAATAGGACGCGGCTAAGATTACCTCAGGCCTCACAGATACAGGTGAAACTCGAAAAATTAGAATATTGTGCAAATGTTCATTTATGTCAGTAAGG